ACCAAAGCTCGGAAAAGTTTCCAGAAAGCTAAGGTTATGGTTCTTGACAAGATACCAAAATCCCACATCGCATCAAGAGCTGTTAGAAATTTTATACGCGGTAAGAAGTCACAACAAATGGGTTTCGTGAAAAACTAGTTAAAGCGTACTTTTACAAAAAAATCGTGAACATCAGATTCCATTCAAAAAGATGCAACAAGCAGTTTTCACTTCAGCTATGACCTTTTTGGTCTTTTTTAAATCTTTAAAAAGTCTTTAGCTCCAAACGATGCACCTGGGAACTAAACGCTTCGAAAGTTATTGAAAACATGAGAAAAAGGCTTTTTTCGTGCAGCATGCAAAGTGTGCTAGCAGCGTAACACAGCAGAGAAGAGTACGTGGCTGCCTAGCCAATCCCATATCGGGAATGTAGTGCGCGAACACTATGAATCTAAGTCAAGGAAGTGTCGAATCTATCGTCCTCTACTCGATGCTGGCCCACCAACGATAAATAAAGCTATTGCCATCTTAACTGTTTACTCAAAGATATGTAGAAATATGGGTTGGTGCGTGTATCTAATTGGAGCACTAGCAGATTAGGCAACCATGTTGTCTACCTAATGACTGCAGTCCTTTTCTAGCGGAGATCTTTTCCGTATAGAAAGCTGCTTCTGATGTACAAAATAGTAAATCTCTGTAAGGGAAAGCCAATAAGCTGAAACCAAGCGGTATTGAAAGTGTTAGGACCAATTAATGTTGACCATAATTGGCCATAAATGTGTAGGATCACAGAATTACGCTAGGGCATCTCTCCACTGGGTTCCTGGACATAACAACAATGAAGGCAACGAAATAGCTGATGAGATGGCTAGGCTCCCAATAACCATTAATATATGATCAACTGAGGAAAATTGAGGGATACAAAAGAGCCGCAACAAGAAATCAACGAACCAATCGAGGTCCTTATAACCGAGGCTTAACAAAAAAAAAAAAAAACTGAGGAACTTTTTGATATTAAAGAAAACCGAAGTAGATATAGTAAAAAGCCCTGGGGGTTACTCTGTACTGCGATGCGAAAACAAATGATTCGCATTCGCGCAAACACATCGTAAGTAATATACAGGGGTTATTGCATATCGCATGGCATTTCTCTGTCGTATCGCATTACAGAGTGGAACCCCTGTTCTTCAATGAATCACCATTGAAAAAAAATTACTTGAATCAGTGAGCGCATACCGTTAAACGCATAAATATGGATAAAAACGAAATCGAAATATTATATAATTTTTCTTTGTTTACTTAAGAATATACTTAAAGGTAAAAAAATGTATCTAGTTAATTTAATTATTTCTCGAATGAGTGTTTTGTATAGATCGAGTGAAATTGTTTTTCTTTAAATTAATTTTAATCATCTGCCTTATCAAGAACTACAGATATTGGCCACCTTCTTTTATGAAAGTTTGCTAACGAACTCCAAAAACATAAAAAATAGCTAACTAATAATAATAATAATAGTTTGGCGCTTACACATACGTTAGTGGTTGGTCGTGCTTCTCCTCCGATTTGGGGCGTGCGGCTTGATGTTGTCACACAAAGGGTACGGCAACCTACGGTTTAACGCCGACTCCGGACGGCGATTGTATTTTTATGAGAAGCTGTTTTTTTCATGGCAGAAGTACTCTCGGAGGATTGCCATTGCCGGCCGAGGGGCGACCGCTGTTTAGAAAAAATATTTTTTCTATATTTTTGCGTTGTTGCTTTGACCAGGGCTTGAGCCCAGACCCTGCGGAGTGAAAGCGCGCACTGCTTACCACTACTCCACAGCGCCGCTAACTAATAACATCAAATAAAAATTTATGGCTAGCAAGATGCATATTTTATTGCTAAGCAAGAAACCTGAGTAGGTAATTCGAATGACAACAAACCAACCAGTTGCCAGCTTTATTAAAGAAATAATATTTTGTTTGCGATAAAATTCAATAGATATTTATTTTTAAATATTTTTTTTTTCTTGTTTTGTATTCAAGCTAGCTATAAGCTATCAGTAAGAATACCAAAAAAAAAATCACAAAAACTAAAAGCTGAGCACCAACCTTCAACTAACCAATAACACAAAACTACAATGTACAAATAAATTGGGTATTGAAAATGGAAGGCATTGTGCAAAAAATATATTTTTTAAAACAATTATTCAAAATCATGATTCAATAATAGAAAGGTTTTGTAATAAAACAGTCTTCTCGCTCCCACACATAAAATCGGCTCCTTTACTTGTGCAGAATGTTGCTTACTCTACAGGTTCTAGTGATATTAGTAGTAGAACCAAAAATTCGTCATACTAAATACTCGTTGGCATCACCTTCGTGTGCGTAATTTTCTAGAACAAGTGTAGAATAGCGACCGTTTAGCTATAAAATAACCAAAAATGCCGGTAGATAGAACTTTTTACGCTGATTACAACGATACCAAATTTATTTGGCGCAGGCAAAAAATAACGAAGATATAAGAGGTTTATTTGTATTTTTTATTATCACTGAATTGTTGAAACCCAAAAGTACATCATGATAAAATATGTATTATCGAATTAAAGATAATAACGTGTACTTTCTAAATAATATAAATTTCTTTACCATGAATTATTCAGTTTTTTTTTTCAAAAAAGATTATTTCATGAAAATATAACATTTGTTCGTTTTTTAGTGGTTTTTGTTTAAAAATACAAGAAGCTATAAATTATGTACACCAGCTGAAAGACAAATTAATTATCTTTATGGTGGCGTATAGTTTTTTTATCGGTTATACCTACAGTTCGTAAGATATTAATATCTAAAAAATTTAAAAACTGAACCTTCTAGAACGTCTTGATTTTTTTACTTGCGCCAAATAATTTTGGCATGGTTGAAATGAGCATAAAAAGTCCTATTGATCTGCAGTTTTCGTTTTTGCATAGCTTAACGATCGGTTCCAGGAAATGATGAATAACTTAAATCAAAAATGCACATATTTATGTATTGTTTAGTGTTTCCATTAAAACACCAAATATATTGCAAAATCGCATAGAATAAATAATACATATTTTACAAGGCGATCACATTCTTTGCCTTTCTCCTACTTCCAAAATAAAAATCTAGATAAAGGAGTGTCAAATTTTAGCTGTCACAAATTACACAACCTTGTGTTATTGAATCATGATTCAAAATCCTATGCGTTCTATTTAAAAATCGAAAAGAAACTAAAAGTAGAAAATGTCAACCAATTGAAGGACTTAAGAAAGAATTTAGTACATTAAATATAGGGGAAAATATATATTGTTAAGTAAGTAATTAAGTAATGCATTTTTAACTGTTTGAAATATGTGGATAATAAAATAACTTTTGCCAAAATAATGTTAAAAACGCAAACGAAATGCACTGAAACTACAAAAAATGCTAGAAAAGCTAGTCTATAAGAAATATGGGATATTTCAATAATCGACTGGGTTATTTGTTGAAAAAATAGTGTGTGTTTTAGCTATAGTATTAATATCTTTTAATTTCCTTCCAATGCAGTGCTAAAAGTTTTGTTACATTTTTTTATTTAATTTTACATTGCCTTGGAAAGCTTTTGTGTTGATTCCAAAAAAAAACCCCCACATAAAAGTTTACTATTTTTACTTTCATGCGTAGCTTAATAAAGTTTTTTTTTTTTGCTTTATTCAATAACCATCTAAGCAAAAGTTGCAGTAATAGGTTTCAAATCTAATCGCTGAGCTAAGAGTAGAAAAAGTATCTAACAGCCATTTTTTTTAACGAAATTTGGAAGCTAATTTTATAAACTTCGTTGATGTGAATTAGATAAAGAGTTAATTTTTTGCTAACTTTATTATCTAATGGCAATGTTTTTGTACTAAGTACTACAACTTATTAAACACAAGTCCACCTATTTAAACGGATACATACAAAAGTATCTCATAAGCATAAAATTATCTTGCAGATACTTTGGCGTAACAGCTTAAACTGGTTGCTACGGCGTAAAATTCATTTTTTAGTACCTTTGCACCTAATTTTGAGAATACAAATGTATCTGCCAAGTAAAGGAATTTTTGCAGTTCAATTACGAAAACGCTTGCTTATTGTGTTGGTATGTACATAAACAATTTTTTCCGTTTTTAAATTGAGTAAAAAACTTGAGCGAATAAAAAGCATTTTTGAGATACAACAAATATTTGTAGCAATTATTTAAAAAAAAGTATCTCGTAAACCTTTTCTTATGCAAAAGCTTTAAATTACAATTTCGAAATCTTACAGAAAAAGCAAACAAATTTCAACAAGTATGTACAAAATTAGAAAGGGTTTCCAAAAGCATAGAAAGTTGCTATTCAAGAATGGATTTCATGCACGAGAAAAAAAATCGCATTTTTTGTATTGATAAGCCCGATATGGACTTGCATGAGATCGTGTTTAGGACCTTAGGCTGTTTGCTTAACTTTTAATAAGTCAAACTACATTCATAAATGTATCTAAATAAAATGCAGCTAACGACAGCGCTTACTGTATGTGCCTCTAAACCCTTTTATAAATGTTAAAATACTGTTATTTGGGTGTAGATGCAAATGTATCTTACAGATAAAAAAGTATCCTACAGATATAAAAGCATTTCACAGATGCAAAACTATCTCGCAAATACTTTTAGCTGAACAAAAAAATAGTAAATACACTTTCCAACAGCTACAATAAATGAAAATACGTATGTATGTATTTCATCGCTTGCCAGCTAATTTCAAAAGTGTATTGGAAAACAATTACGCTAATTCGCCGCATGCAACTGCTGCTGCATGCCAACGCGGCTTAAGTGCATTTCGTTTGTTTTTCTCGCTTTTCATGAATTTTTAACAATTTCCATAAAATTTTCTCTCATTCAATGTTTGCATCAAAAATGCACTAAAATTTTGCGTATAAAAAACTTTCACAAAAAATACTTAACTACATACATACGGTTATAAATAGTGTAATAAGTGTATGTATGTATGCTTGAATATTCACCTCTATCGCTGTAGAAATCGAATGCTCGCTCCAATCCAATGCAATCACCAAAATTTGTTGCTGTCGTCGTGGTTGTCGCCACCGATGAACTATCACTATTACTATGATGATTATAATGATTACTGCTGTTATTGTTGTTACTATTATTAGTATTGTTGTTGCTGTTGTTGCCGCCACCATTCGTATAAATGTTGGCGAAATATGCATTGGTATTATTGATGCCAATGCCGTTGGTGTTTTGTAATTGATGCGGTCCAACGGGATAATCCATGAGTGAGGCAGGTGGCGTCGGTTGATAGCAATATAAATCCATTTAGGTTTTTTTTTGGGGGGGATTTAACGCTTTTCGGTACTTGTTTGTTGAAGGTAGCCTGATTTGGTTGTAGGTTTGTTTTTTGGTTTTTTTGTTTACTAATTTCAAGTACGCTTTGTAGATGAGGTGTTGTAGGTTTAAATTTTGTGCAAATTTAAATTAAAAATTTATTTTTAAAATAAATGGTTGTTTTTAACTTGTGTGTTTAAATTTATTTTAAGGCCATTTTTTTGTAAATTGGGTTACACATTTGTGTGCTGACTGGTGACAGGTTACCGGCAGAAAATTATGTGTGCGCGGCGCATAAAGACTTGTAACTAAAGGCAGTAGCTTTTATGTGCTGTTTCCTTTTTTAATTGTTTACTCCGAATGATTTTCTAATTGATGTTAGAAAACAGCAAATATTTCTTAAGACTTGGAAGTTTTTATTGCTCTAAAATTTTATTCCAAGTTTTCTTAGTGATTTCGCTTATTCTGCCGAGTTTGCTCTTCTTTTCTTTATTTTTCCGCCTCCATTTTTTTTAATCTCCGTTACCAAAAAAAAAATGGTATTAAACTGTAGTAGTGTAATTAATCTTTATTGCAGGATTTATGTGCTCTGCCAAGCATGTATCTATTTATTTGTTCTCTTCCTCTCCAACAAAAGACAGCCACAGTTTTTCCGAAACCTCCCTCTGCCAATCTATTTTGCCATATCTCTTGCAACGCTCCAAGCGCTTGTTTTCGCTATTGCTGGCTGACGGTCTGGCTTTACTGTCTGCTGTAGTTGCGTTTACGCATACAAATGTGTCCCCGAGGAGGCGGCGTCGCAGTTAAACGAATAACTGCAGACGCAATCGAGCAGAAGAGGAAAACTATTTTCTTTTTTTTTTTATTGCTATTTGTCTTCACTGCTTGCCACAGTTTTTATTTTGCCTGCTCTCTAAGTTTTCTAAAACACAAGAAAAACGCAGAATTTCTTCTTCACTTGCTTTGTTTCGGCTCCAGACGGACACCAACAGACTTTCGTTCAGGCGCAGCGCAGCTCAGCTGTTATTTTTTTATGATTGCTGGCTGGCATATAATAGCTTTTTATTGTTGTTGTTCATCTTGTTGTTGAATAGACCTTGAGCAGACAGTTACATGCAGCAGTCGCAGCAGTTATGTCGATATTCCAAAAAAAAAAAACAAGACGACGAGCATGAAAATATGGGTAAAATGCCAGACGCACCTTCGGGATACCGACGACGGGCGACCACACAGACACATGCCACGCACAATCGACAGGTTTGTAGGTAAGTGGGTGGTTGATACGAGCCACGTATCTGTCGGATGCTGCTGCTGCTGCTATCTAACTTTTATATAAGTTTCAGACGCCAGTGGCGCTTAAGACGACACCAGCATACAAGTAAGTAAGAAAGCACAGTTTATGTATGTACATATGTATGTATGTAAGTAGACTGTTGGCAAGCAACGTACGTCTGTTATTTTTATTGTTTCGGTAACTGCAAGCAGCAGACAACGACGTTGCCTATATAGAGGCGCTGAGGCAAGGTGGCAGCAGCAGACACGAGATTCTTTTAGCCGATTGTTATGATGCCACTGCTGGCTTATGATCTTTAAGCGGCAGCAGTAAGACAAGTAGGCAAGTGCGTAGCGCGGCTGCTGCGCGTATGAGTGCTTTGTCTTTGTTGTTTATTCTTATTACATTTGTGCGACACTGACTTCATGATGTGCCTTTTTTTGTGGCAGTGTTTTGTTGTTGTTTCTTCGGCCAACTTCACGCATACATATGTATGTATGTATATTGTCACTTTGCCGCACCACTTGTTTGCCTTTTCAGCTAAGTATCGATTGCTTGCCTGCTTCCACTGATTGCGCTTTCTCTACACGCTGGCTGACTGTCTGCTGCTGTTTTCTTCTGCTGTTAATTTGCAAATTTTACGAACGCAAGTACATTTCGTCAAGACTTTTTTAAATTAATTTCTGAAATTTATTTCTTTTCGTTTTTGCCCGCTGATGCGGCTTTGACACTGTCTCTTATGCTACGATGTTTGCTAGTTTCTGGTGGTGGCGTATTTTTGGATTCAAGTAACACACATTTTTAGCAACAGCGAAATTGGATTTGAAGTGTTGAAGTGTTGAAATTTGCAACATTTTTTGCGATTGATTTCCTTTTTTTAATTTCGTTATATTTATATTTTGCCTTTCTGTATACTATTCGTGAATTTTAACTAGCACAAAAAAATTTTTTTGCATAAAAAATTTTAAATTCAAAAATTTATTTTCGCTTGCAAATCACTTACATTTTAATCATCTTCATGCCAAACGCCATTTGTGCACATGCAAATTTCGTTTTCACGTGCATTTATATGCAAGCAAAAGTCGCACACAATTATGTATTTTTATTTTTTTTTTTTCAAAATGTGCTTATTTTTATTTTCTACTTTGAAAGTGCGCTCGAAAACAAGCGGAAATGCACTTTTCCCACGCGATACAAGCGCGCCACGCAGCGTTCTAGCTAAACTAGCAGCTATAGTTAGACACAAACATTTCGTTTAGAAGGCGCGCGTACACACACAGGCACACGCACACACACACACACACGCGAAACACTGAGTTGTTGTCGTTGAAATTGCACTTTTGTGGTAAATTTTAGAACCAAAATAAAAAAAATAAAAACTGTCGTAAAAATTTTCAACAGCACGGCGCTGTTGTTGTTGTTAAAATTGCACTTAACATTTGCTCATTGATTTAGCATTCACTTGCAAACGAGTTGTTACTGTTGTTGTTTAGCATATATGTAGATATGCCTCGCTACCCGCTCGCGCTTTAATTCGCGTCAAATAACGCGCCGCGGCACAAGCTAACGTTCGCGTAAAAGGAAAACTTTCGAAAAAATCGTCGAATATTTACAATAACAACGGCGCCCGACTGCTGGTGGCACTTACTTTTATTTTCAAGCTGGTTTGATTTAGTTTTAATTTTATGGTTTTTTTGTCTTCAAAAATTGTAGGTACTTTCAGGTAATTTTCAGCTACTTTTTCTTTGCAGGTTTCCGTATTCGAAAGAATATTCAAAATTTTAAACTTTTTTTTCTAGTACATCACTCGTAACATCATATAAAAAACCATTGATGTTCGCTTGCACTTGTTACTTTGTATGTTTGTACATACATACATATGTATGCAACTATGCACTTAGTATGTACTATGTAGGTATGTTTTTTTTCATTCTAAAGTCGTAGCACTGTGTAGCGTTTTTCTATTTTGCTATTGTTCAAAAGCGGTCTCGCTCGCCTCTGCCTCTACGCTGCCGTATATAGTTGGTGTATATACATATATGTACAAGCGAATATGTTCGTATTATCAACCGAATTATCCACCGCTAACGTTGAAGTCCAAACAAACACTGAAATCAATGAAAGCGATTTTTGAGCAGACAACAGCAAACGTTGATACAGAGGCAAAAGGCAAAATAGCAGCGCAAACGCCGTTGTTGAAGTATATTTTTGTGAACACAATTCACCACAGCTGCCGACTACTGGCAGAATATTCGTATCTGCTCCGCAACACTTAGACAAACGTATACTCTTGACTTTTATATGAATACACTCTTCCCAGTTTGCATTTAGCATTTTGTTTATTGCTTTGTTTCGTGGTGTATGCACTTCTCTCACCTACACCAACGCAGCCCCACAATCGGCATTTCAGCTTACATACATACTATTGCATTTTAAACGCATTTCACCACTTGCCACTTCACTAATCGAATAACCGAATACTTTACACCTCTCTACGTTATTCTTCATTGCTAATTGTAGTATGTACCTTTTCTTTAGTCGCTTGCTTTATCGGTTATTCGCATTGTACACTTCGTATTTGAATTGCACCTTGTGCACCCCGACCGCTAACAACAAAGTGTTGGTGTAGCTGATGCGCTCTCTCCAACACATGCATTTTACCGCTCATTAAATTTAGTATAGGTTTAAGGTGTGTTGAGTTTCTGTAAGTGAGCACGCAAAGTGGCTAGAATGAATGACGACGACGCCAATGCTGATAGTATCGCTATGCCAAGTCGAGTAGGAATGCCTTATTATTGCTATTATAATTGGGTGACTGGCTCAAGCCCTGAGCGCAATTGATGCGAAATAGCACTCGTTTTTCTCAAACACTTTTATAACTCTCCTCGCTCTCAATAAACTCTTAAATATGGCAGGCAAGTAAGTTATCTCTTCGCCTCATATCACATCACATCAATATCAAGTCGCATGACTATTTGCGTCTCGGTGTGTACCACTGATATAAACATACATAGGTTAGGTTTGGTGGCAGCCCCGTGTAATGGGGACTCGCTTGGACAATTAGGATATTTTCCTCTGTAATACCACACTCTGAACGCCACCCAATACTTAATAGATAAAACGCCCCGAGCCGAATATTTAATTAGGATTCGGCTAATTTCAATGCCCCAGAGCTCCTCGGGGCTACTAAGGATGTGAGAGCCAAAGTACTTCAACCTTACCCTCGCAAACGCTGGGCACTTAACGAGGTGGTATTGTGGTCATTCCAACTCGTCATCTTAGCGGCAACTGCGATATACGGGGTCCGGTAGTATGCTCAGCCTTACTGCGTGCATACCGATTTGGACAGTGACCCGTTAAAACTCCCACCAAAAGTGAGAGCTGTGGCTTTGTGAGTGTGAGGATTGCCCTCTACGCCCCCTGTCCACTCTCGGACAGAAGGACCTTACGATCGCGCATCAATGCCACACATAGCCACTCTTTACCTGGCGATCATGTTTCACGAGCGCCTTTTCAGGCCAATGAAGGCTTCTTCTATCCGCCTCTGTCTGCCTGTAGAGCGGTTTCTACCGACCTACCACTACAACAATCATGATGAACTCTTGATAGGCGATTTCGAGGAATCACGCTCTTTGTTTGCAGGTCACCCAGCCTATCTAGCGTTTTCAGTAGAAATGATGAGAGACTGATTGGCCGGAAATCCTTGGCGGTCACATGAGAACTCTTTCCGCCCTACGGGATGAACCCCACCTTGACGACCCTCCAACCCCTGGGAATATACCCGTATCTTACGCAGTTCGCGTAGATTGGGGTCTAGCCAATGGCACGGCACCGCCGCAGCATTTTGCAGCTGCGCGGGTATGATGCCATGCGGTCCTGGAGATTTGAAGGGTTTGAACGAGTTTATCGCCCACGTCAGGGGACAGTCATTCAGAAGGTCAGAAAAAGCAGCAGAAGTTTAGCAGACAGGCTACTCTGGCGCTCAAGGCCTTATGACATCACCCGAACTTATGTATAAACACATTCCTTGGAACTTCAAATGATATTACATCACGAGCTGACATCACTTTTAAAGTTGAATTCTCTTTCTTTGCTATAACACGTACATCACGACGAAAAATAAACAACTAAATATCTGCTCAGCTTATAAAGTGGGAAGTCTTAGGACTGCTGACAGACTTGTGCTGATGTGCCATAGGTCATCAGCAACTAACTCGACACTGTGTAAAAAATTTCGAAACTCCCTTTAATATCCTTCTACTCACTGAAAGGAACAGCATATCAAAGGACTATAAAACTCATAAAACTTTCTAAAAATGCATGATGACTAAGGTTTAACCATATGCTTCGATTTTCTTGGTAAAAATAGGGATCAACTAATGGTCTATGTGGGATCGTACGGATGAGTCAAGCTAACCTCACCTATCAGTACTATATCTTAATCAACATCCCGACAAACTATCTACTGGGTCGCGTGACAGAATGTCGAAGATTCCTACATTATCTAGATAACACTTTGACGGAAGCAAATGAGTGACTCAGAAAGAGTCCTTAGGTATTACTTGGTAGGCCGACACCAAGCAAACAGTCCGCTCTTAGATTATTTCGTTAGTTGAGGACCTAGACCTGAACAGCTTAAGCACTACATCTCTTAGTAGTGTTGTTTTATGTATGTATGCATACATATATGTTTTGGAATAGTTTTCCTTGTCACCGAATTCCGATTAACCTTATAACACGCCAGCATCAGATCACATCACCAACGTATCAAATAATTTCACCTTACTAAAGTACACAAATCGTGTCAGCATTATGCGATATGAACTAAATATATACAATTTTTAAGGATTTTAAGCTCTCGAAGTATGGACTTAACATAATTTGAAATTTCCCAAGATCTCCACATCACATCGGCGGAAATTCACATTGTAGTAACGCATTTTTATCACGCCATGGAATTGTTTCTTAAGTTCCACTACTACTAACGATTTTATGTAATGTCACATTCACATCACGTTATGCACGCACCATACCCAAATAACAAAAAATAATAAAGTGATGTGCTAAATCACATGACATCACATCGCATTAAAATGCATAACATTACATCATATAACACCTATGTAGATATTAATTATACTTATCACCTTAGGAGTTTCAGATTTCAAATTACCAATCCCCACTTTCAACCAACACCCCCTTCTTTGCATGCCAATTCTAGTCGCACTCTCGCTCAACACTTTTCACTGTTGCATCTCTCTTTCTCTCATACACACACACACAAGCGCATTTTCTCACTTTTGCAGGTTTACATAGGTATCTCAAACTTGAACTCGACCGCAACTTGCCTATGCCGTCCGGCAATGAATGAAAAATGCCGATGCAGTCAGCCACACCGCTCATGCACGACTTCAACACCGCTGCACTAACACTATGGTGAACGCCAACCATCAAAAGCACATACATATACCCAGAAAACAATTAGGTTTGATATAAATTTAAGAATGATTGGAATTCAAAGCCCTTCTTCAAATGTCAAAACGTTTGAAAATGATTTCACATTGATTTGAAAATAACAGTTTTCTTAATAAAAAGGGGAGTTTGTTCTCCATTTGAGAATATGCTTAACACTCAAATCAATTTCGAAGGTTATTTATCAATTGTACTTCAAATGTGGAAATAAAATTTTTTATAGGAATTGTATCTTTCATATTTATTTTTTCTTCACGATGTACATACTTAACAAAAAGAAACAATTAAGATAAAGTTATTTCTAATATGTTCGTCTTGAAGGGCTGCAGCTTCTTCAATCCGCGCAAGCATTTGATGCACTCTTTGAATATTTTTTTCTATTTTTGTTTTTTTCCAATTGAATTTAATTTTATTCTTTCAATTCAATTCAATTTTATTCAATTTCAAAAGAATTTCAAATATAAAATGTAAACCTCGTTTTCAATTTGAGAATCATTTGAGAAAAGCACTTAATATCAAATTGAGAAATACATTTTTCACAAATGTTTGAAACTGTGTTTGCTGGGTAGTAGACATGCACACACTACTACAAGCGCAAACAAAAATCGCATTCGTTTTTCGTATTTGTTGACTTATGCAGGTATATAGAGGTACTCGTATTATTTTTCAAGGTGCGTGTGTATGTACGTAGTCTTCAAATTAGGTGTGCAGTGAGAGTGGTGTGTGGTTCTATTTTTTTCTGCACTCTCACTCTGCCAACCTTCCCTCTACCCACCGCCTTTGTCTTCTTAAAATCGACTACATCTTTGCTTTGCGCCGGCATAAAGGTATATTTTTTTTGTATATGTTGTGGGATTTTTTTTTGCTGTTGTTGCGCCGACAAACTGACTCGCAGCAGTTTTCAACTTTTTTATTTTCTTGCTAGAGTGAAAATGTGTGTATGCAAGTGTGTGTGCACAAGTGCAAATGCGGCATAGCAAAAATAATGAAAGGCAGCAAAGTTGAGAAAATGAAAAAGTCTACTTGTAGAACAAGTAAAAAATAAAAATGTTATATACATATATACATATATATGTATGCCTATATAGCTGAACAAAATCGGTGTTTTTGTGTTTGTATGTCTGTATGCCTAGGCAATTCGTTGGCGACAGCGACGGCGACGGCAACGGCAGCGGCAGCGTACAGTGTAGCAATTTATTGGAATTTTCGTGCAATGCATTGAACTCATTCACCTGACGCAGATACGAGTGATTAGAAAAACAAAGCAATAGAAATAAAACTTTTACTTTTTTTTCGTGCACAAATGCACATGATGAGATGTGATCACATTTGCGCGCACATAAACACATACTTATGTATGTATGTATTTGAATTATTTTATTATTTAAGTCATAAGAGTTCATATCAGCGCACGAAAAAATATGCAATTTCATTTGAAATTTTAGATTAGACCAAGTGATGAATTTTGCTATGGCTGTTTAGTTAGAAAAATACGCCGTCATGACAGATATCTACCTACTTTGACTTGATTGTGGGTAGAAGCTGACATTATTTATTCTTCTTCGTAGAATATACATACATACGTAATACATTTTCAAGTATTTTCAATTTTTCAACACAGTGTAAAATTTGCTTTGTTAGAAATTCTGTAAACATTTTTTCTAACTTTAAGAAAAATTTAATCACTTGGACCTTTAAATAAAGAGCAACAAATTTTAAATATATCTAAATACAATATTTTTTAATTGCCTTCAATGGGATACTTTATTTTAATTTCTACTTCACTCAAATCTTTCCAACTTTTAATTACATACATACCTACATATATTAGATTTGGGTCAACGATACCCGAAACTGCAATAACTATCATATTACATCTGAATAAACTGCAAAGGCTGGCATGTCTCTAGGTCACTCGGTCATTCAGAACGTAGTCAACCGCGGCCGTGCGGTCGCTTCGAGAATGGACTTCTCTTTATATTTTTGTTGAGGCAACAGCAGCCACAAAAGAACTACAAATTCGAATTTGGCTTCATACCAGAGTTGGAAAAATGAGCTCTGTTTGAAATTTATACTATTATCGTAATGCATCGAGTTCTCCCAAATTACAGGGTTATCGACATTTATTGATTTACTGATGGATTTATTGAACCGAAGTTTTTGGAATTTTTAAAATATGTATATCGAGTTATCGGAATTTTAAGGTTATATATATAAATAAGTACATATATCGGGTTATCATGCTTATGGAATTTTATCGTGTTACCGGAGTGTAACGAGTTATCGAAATTTGTCGATAGCTATCGAAATTAACCGAGTTTTTGAAATTTATAGAGGTATTCCAAGTTTATTTAGTTATCGGTTTATATCGAGATATATGAATTTTTGAGTTATCAAAATATATATCGATCCCTCGAAACGCACGGTTATCGAAATTTATCCAAATTAGTCGAGTTATCGGGTTTTGTTAAGTTTTGTTGTGTTTTTGAAATTCATCGAATTATCGATATATATCAGTCGGATCAATTCCAAGTCCTACCAAAGTCCTACAAAGACCTTCAAAGACCTAAAAAATTCCAGTCATGTTTAAGCCCCAAAGCAGGATATTTTCTGGTAAGTTCCCTTTCAGATACGTCAAGTCTTGCTTTCAAGTCTACTCGTTCGTTGACGAAAGAGCTGCGAAGAAGGGGAAGAGTACAGATACATCTATAAAGTCAAGTCGTTTCAAGTTTTCTTGTCTCTTTTGATATTTCCGTTGCTTGCCATTTAAAGAACAAAGGGATCCAATAAAGGTTGACGCGTGTTGAAGCAAATAAATAGACAACACAAAACATAATGCGAAAAAATTGCTTTCAAGACTTGACGTGTCTGAAAGGGGACTAAGAAATTTTGTACCTTATAGGTTAAACGACGTGCTCAGTTGGAAAGCCTCTCCAAGGCTCTTATAAAACTAGAAAAATGATAGAATCTCGATAGTAACTGGCACTCCTAGTAAAAATAAATCTCTGTCACATTAAACCTTGAAGGATAATTAGACAGCGCGTTTTTAGCTGTTCACATGATCCAGCTTCCATTCACGCCCTCTCTAGAATGATGCGCGCCTGCCTTGGCCGGACAAATATTAGTTCCATGGTCGTAGGATTTATTGCGAAAGTCAAAGGTATCATTGGCATTCAGTGTTGGAGATCTTTGTTAGCGATACGAACGACTTTCCCGGCCGTATTGTATTTTGATCCGATAAGCCTGTTTTCCTAAGGGCCAATGACTGATAATCGCTAAAATACTACATACTTCTACCATTGACCTACTTTGCAGCTCTGCTATTCATTTAGAGCTATGGTTAGGCCAAGGCTCAAGTGCTATCTTACATGTCTGGATCTCTGACCACTCTCCCTTGCTAATATTTATCTGAGGGGTATCCCACCCCCGCCACTACCGGTTCATCCAAACAAGCTCCCAACTTAGGCAATTCATCTGCTCTCTCGTTGTCTTCCATGTTCCTATGAACTGGACGCCAAACAAGAGAGATGGACATTGGCTGAATCACCGAACCCAGTAGTCTGAGACGTTATCTGCTGGGCTATTTTCTAAATTTACAGCAAGGTTGGACCGATGTATTCTACGAAACCTCACAGAATTGTAAGGGAAGCTGTTGAAACAGAACGAAGCAATGATGGCGCTTAAGACTGTGGCTAGACAAAGGACCTCTTTGAACTTCAGCTAGTTTGAGTAGTCAGGATGTCGATAGGACAACTTTATGTGTCGATAGGAATACTTTAGAGATAAGATTTGAAATTATGTGATGAGAAGGGCTTAGGATACATTCGATGCCCATTTCATCATTAGATCATAAGTGTTTAACTGGAGGTTCTTTGTAACAAAATTTGGACTACCGAAAAAACAACGGTTATTCCTGGTAAGCAAGAGAAACATTCCTATATAAAAACGAGTACATAGAAAATTCTGCTGAATTACCGCATAGGTAGAAGCAAGCCCTTGGGCCGTATGCATAAAAAGTAAGCAAATGGTTTTGCTTAAAATTTCAGGACTTTTGCACGATTTTTTCAAATAAAATTAAGTGAAAGGTATGGAAATTTAAGAAAAAGCAATTACATAGTTTTTATGCATAGAGCCCCGTATATTTCTTCTTTTTCAAGCTATCGCTTACTGACGGCGAGTACATTCAAATCCTAATTAGTATGTACATATAAGTTTAAATTATTATTAACTTCGTAATCAAATATAAACATTTCAATCATAGGTTATGCTTTACTGCACATTTACAAAAGTGTTTATATAAAAATTACTCAACTGTTAGAGCGTAAAAAAATTTTCTATAATTATTATAATTATTGTTCAAAATTCACAATTAAGCTATTTTTATTAGTTGAAGTAAAAATAAATTTATAAAAATACCAATGCGAGAGCAATGAAGAAAAAACAAAGAACACAAAGAGGATTAACTGTGTAATACAATACGATTGATTGCAAAGAAGAATATGCACTCGTGGATATTCATACATACATACATTCACCGTTATCTACATACGCCTGGATGTACATACATATGTATGTACTTAAATATAAGCATGGGTTATGTATACGGTGACCATATTAACCAACGTAAAATAAACGACATTTTTTTCAAAATGAGTTGGGAATACGTACATACAACTTGTATGATAAAAGTACCTTACCCATATCGTAATTTAAATCAGATATTTACCAGTTAATTAACCGATTCCGAAAAATTAAGCCAAATCCCTTTCCAGGACTTCGCCATCTTTTGCTGCCAAAATGCGTTTACCTTAATTCATACTGCACGCCGAGGCCAGCAAACAGTGGTTCAAAATTGGAATTTAATGTTAATAATTCACCGGAGTCTTCATTTTTCAACCAATTTTAACTAAAAACCAAAAAGAAAAATATTTTGGTGAAAATATTTTTATAAAATTTTTTTTGTACT